TATATATATATATATATATAATTATTATTTTGGAGATTGTACTAAATATGAACCTCTAAATTATGCACCATTTATCATCTGCAATACCATGTTGTAGCCATGTATAGACATATATATATATATATATATATAGAGAGAGAGAGAGAGAGAACGTAGACATAAAGCACATTATTTGTATTAGGTTATTAATTTGGATACGTTTTCACACATTATTAAAGACTAATTTAAGTAAAATTTGACATTTAAATGTTGATTTGAAGTGTCAGTTTTTACTATTGCAGTCAAATCTGGACACAGAGAACGCATTTTGTTACTGATACTACAGCGTGATCAGCCCCACGAAAGTAATCCGGATAAAATATCAGTGTGACCAGGACGAAATTTTAAAATATATAATTGAGTGTCTACATACCATGAACAGAGACGGTCTGGGGTCGAGTTGTGTCCTTCTGTTTGAAAAAATCTGCATCGCAATCAGCGACTGGCAAATTCAGATTCAGGTAGCTTTGTTGGCATGGTAAAAAGGCTTTACAAAGAACTGACAACCTTTCGAACCAATGGTGTTGAGCATTATCAAATTTAGAGGCTACAATAGGCAGCGAATCAGTGATGGGCAGCACTCTGATCCAATGGCCAAAAAGCTCTCAGATCCAAAAGTCAACAATATATTAAAACGAAATAATTTCATGATCAAATGTGGAAAATTAAAAGCGTAGAGAAAAAAAATTCAAGCTGCTGCAGCACCCTCAGAACCCCTAGTTCCCACGGCCATGTATATAAGTTTAACCGGCGAACAGTATGGCCTCACTCAACCAGCACTACCATCCGAGACCAACATGGAAATAAATGGTCTTTTAAGGCAGATTTAGCAATAAGTGTTTTTAGTGCTGTACTTGGATGGAAACTTTCACATTAAAGCTACTGTCAAGAGTTTAGATGTGTCTTCTGAAGCTTCTCTTTTTTTAAGCGTGTTTTTGTGCTTCATCTATAAATAGCATCTTACTCAGTTTCTTCCTGTTCCTCCCGCTCTCGTTCTAGTTCCCGCTCCTGCTCTGCTGCTCATCCTCGTGCTAATTGTGTGAGTCTGACCTCAGAACAGCCGAGTGTGAGCGCAGCCATGTGCTGCCGGGGTCACGGGTCAGCATTGATGGGCTGCTCAGCAGGAAGCCACTCTGACATTTGTGGGTCTGTGAGGTGTGTTCGTCTCCTCGTGGCCCGCGGAGCGGCTTTCTCATGAACCATGCGCTAATGTGGCCACAAGTACCAAACATGTCCTTCCTCATAAGACTCTTCCGAGATCACTCCCGTCCCAAAGCAGCCACCAAACAGAAAGATTAGTTTAAAAAATGCATGGTGTGTGGGACGTTTCTTGGACCTGAGGGGGTTTATGGGTCTCGGTGTGTGGGTTAAGGGAGGACAATGTGCTTACTGGGTCACATATTAAATCATATTTCTGTTACTGAAACACTTACACAACAGTTCACAGAGTCCGCTGTAAAAGATGCTGTATGTTGTGTAGTGCTGTAGTTAGACGGAAGGTAAACACTGAAAACACATTTTTACTTTGAAACTCTTACTCAGAAATTGGTAGTAAATTTCACAAAGAATTAAAAAGAAATGACAGTTAACACACTGAAAATGGTCATATTTTGAAGTAAAAGGACTGAAATAGAATTTTCCAGGAAAACATATTCCAATACATTTTTATTTACAACCTCGAAAAGTCATTTTCTATAATGTAGATTTTACACTCATGATTGTTGTCGATTTAAATGTCTATTTAAGATCTCTACATTTTTCTGTATTGTAGCAATAATTAGACTTAAATATAACAGAATAATTGGTTCATTTTTATGTATATTATTTTTGTTTTTAAACAGAATTGATTCAAACCTGATTTTTTTTCCCTTTAATACCAAATGAGTAGGAGATAAAACCTCATCTGACAACAGTTTTCATTGTAGTAGAAGCTCATTGTGTGTGTGTGTGCGTGTTATTGTGTGTGTGTGTGTGTGTGAGAGAGAGAGTGTTATTGTGTGCGTGTGTATTATTGTGTGTGTGTGAGTGTGTGTGTGTGTGTGTGTGTGAGTGTGTGTGTGTGTGTGTGTGTGTTACTGTGTGTGTTGGTCCACAGATCTGCAGCTGAACTCTGACACCTGCTGTACTTCTATCATATTCCACTATTGCTGTTAACAAAACACAATCTTGTATTTGAATTCAGTTTGAGAATGAAATGAAATAACTCTACTGCTGTATGAACAGATACATTTGATTCACGTTTTTTGGTATGTGCAACTGTGTTTTTTTCCCCTTACATTTAACTAAATTCAAGGTCTGATTCCCCGGGGTTTCATATAACAGCATGAATAATTCTCCCTCATCACAGAGCATTGTGGGAAGGTGTCTGCGGTGTGCATGAGGTCTGAGGTCTGAGGTCTGGTTCCTGTGTGTTTATATTTGATATCAGACAATATACAGTTCATACATGACACTATCACCTGATTCAGGCCGTTCTCCTTCACACTGAGCTTCTTCATGTGTAGTGATGAGAACGGGAGATTTCCAGCCATTGTGACGGAGCGGGAAGCAGGATTTTGGCTGATTGCATTCATTATCTGATGGGAACAAAAACCACACGGATGGAGCGTCTGCAGAATATCAGTGATTGTCAGTCAGAGTGACTTATATTTGATCGACTCATGGGATATTCAGCATGGACACTTTTTACAGACTGTTATGACACGTTTCACAGTTATTAACATCATAAATACCTTTTTAAATTTGTTTTTATACTTTCATAAAAATTGTATGTACATGTATAAGACTATATGTTATGTTTTATTTCCTTGGCATTAAATCACAGTAAACTAGTAAACACTGTGTTACTTTTTGTAACACAACAGCTGATGGAATGATGGCAGATGTGACATCTTTCTCTCTTGTGACCAATGCAATCTATCCATATTTTTCCTCATTCGTAAATTCATAGAAACTCTATTATGGATTTTTATTTTTTTGCATACTTTTCGAATGCAAAAACGATACTTCTTGTAGTTTCTCTTTACCACTATACAGTAAAACATGATATGATCGGTAATTGTCCGAAGTGATCGGGGGTGTCCAAAATGCGTCCCGTAGCTTGTCTATTAAAATATATGTGGCCCGCATATGTGTGAACACAAGGTGACAGCACTAAATTGTAGGCCAGATGTAGAAGTAAAACGTGAGTGATAACAATTTGATAACTCATGCGCTGCCATTTCTTTAGCGCACGAGAATGCGCCAATAATTTGAATTTATAATTATAATTATAATTTGAAGTTATAGCTTAGTGTGTGTGC